CACATTAAGTACAGATATTAACAGCAGAGTAAATTCCACAATTGCTCTAAATTTAAACATGAATATTGAAACCAAAGAATTTGGAAATGTCAAATAACTGAAAAAATCTTGGAATGTGCAAGTCCTTTCTAAGCACAACCTAAAACCCAGAAGGCATATAGTACAAAAATTTCATAAGATAGAAATAAATTTGTATGTCAAAAATCAAAGAGCACTCTAAAAATATTTAACTTGTATCACAGAAAGAGAGCTAATGATTTAAGCACTGTGAAGTAGGTAAAACTCATGTATGCATGTAGTTCCAAATAGTAAATAAAGATAATCAACTTTATGTATAATTAGACAAAGGTAATTAAAACTTGCAGGAGATCTTTCACTTCTCAGATTGATAAGGGTCAATAAATTTGATGGTTATTTGTGTCAGAAGGATGTGGATGTCTCTCCTATAGAATTGTAAATTGACAATTTCTGTTTTAGAAAGAAATATTATCCTACTATTTCTTACATTTTAATATATTTGAACCTTTATATAGCATGTTGACCAGTTGGAAAATACATGTGCAAATGTTACATATATACACAGTTACACACTAGACACACAGTGATACTGCTTTTAGTGGAAAAATAGGTAATATGGAAAGATAAGTAATATAAAGTTCAGTGCATACTGTGGTGGAATCCTTGGTAGTTACTAAATAGTTTGACAGTAGAGTTTTATATATACCGATACAGAGCAATCATCAAAATACAGTTCAAGGTGAAAAAAAGAGGTGCAAAACAATGTGTAAAGTGTGATTTCTATGGGAAAAATTCATGAACATCTAGTAACATTGGAGAGATGAGTGTTCTTCTGGGGAGAACTACTGGGTAGGATCAGGAGGGAGGAAACCCATTGTTTTTACTATATATTTTGTCTTTGGAATTTTATAATAATAAATACTCCGAGGGATATGAAATCGCCCACTCAATGACAATTGCATCATTGTTTCTGCTGTTCCCTATCAGCCAGTTCAATGAAGGGTTTTTGTTGAAATAACATGGTGTTAGCATCTTATAAGTTTCAGGTGTACATCATTAGACATCAACATTGTGTGCACTTCAATAAGTTCAACACTAAAACTGAATTATATCATTGTCTCAATTGTCCCAATCAATAAAGGGTTTAAGTCTCAGCATCAAGAATACCGGAAAGGCCACAGTTTGCATCCTTCTCTTATTTTCATTTTGACCTTGTTTTTAAATGCCCATTTCACTCTAAAACAAAGGTACAAAGTTTTGGCATAATTTTATGATTTAATGGTGTGGTATAACTGATTCTGGTTTCTTTAAGATACAAAGAAACTTTGAAATAGAGTGGCCTCTATTTTCTATCTCTGAATTACAGACTTGTGGCATCACAGTAGTACTGACAAAAAGAACATACACTGTTGAGAGGGATCCCATCATCCTTAGAAGAGTTACTCGTGGCTGGCTGCTCTGTGCCAGGGCAGCAGGACAACACGCTATCATCGTACTGCTGGGATGAGAGACCCTGACAGAGGCCCTGACAGAGGTGGACCGGGTATTGGCACTTAAACAGAAGTCAAGTTGATGCCATGCTAGAACTGATTCTGGAGAATTCAGAAGACTATGAGCAGAACAAGATCAAGATGGATAGGGAGAAAACAATGAAATCCAGGATGGGTTGTGAAATGGCTTTTGATTTACAGTCTTGGTAAATTTTTACAATCTCTAGCCTAGGTTTGAAGCAGTTTCAGACCTGTAATCTTCACTTGGAAGAGAAGCTGGGTCCTCAGGAAGAAGGACTCTGGAATTTCCAGATAAGAATAATGAAAATAATTCCTCTTGCCCTCCTCTAGGGGACGCCTAGCCATTAATTCAAACACACGCTCTGGGAAATGAGAACACACAAACATTCAGGGACTCTTGACTCAGGATCCAACTTGACTTTGAGACCCAGCTACTGCATAGACTCTGATCTATTGTTCAGGTAGTAACACATATGTCCAGGTAACAACCTGGATCATATACAACTTACTGCACAGGTACAACTAGCTGGAATATAGTATTTGTTCCCAAATAAAGTTCATATAAAGACAGGGACCATGTTTTGTGCATCCCCTCAAAGTTATTAAAATATAGAATGTGCAGAATAAGCTTCTGTTGAATAATCAAAAGGGATGATGCAGACAAGATTGGAGTGTATTGTGGTGTGACTTGCTGGATTGATTTCTGAAGGTAGTAGTTTGTATTCCTCTGGTGATTCTTGCAGGCTGTGGGTCAGGGTTCTATTTTTATCTATGGTCTGGTCGTTGTTCATTTGTCTCCTACTGATAATTCTATACTGTGCAGAAATGTTCAGATGCAAGTTCTTAGAAAATAAAGTGAACATAAAAATCATGAAGCTATTCAGACCCATAGGAACTTTCAGAGAAAATCTTACACTGTATTAATAACTCATAGTTAAGCACCAGGGATGTGTTTGAAATGCCGTCATTCTTTGTTTGCTGATAGATAAGAATAAACCTCAGTGTTTTTTTTGTAAAAAAAAGAGGAAGGAAACAAAAATTTAGATCTTCTCATGTATGTTATATCTAATTATCACTCAATTCAGGAAGCAGAAATCATTAGAACTCCTTGCCAAATAAAGACTGATACCCTAATTCTACCTGGGTGAAGTTTACAAACAACTCTCTTCTCCCAGTAGTAGCAGATATTGCAATACAATATGGGACAAAAATAAATTAATTCTGTTTGCTGGAGTCACATTTATTATTTGTCTTGCCAAATTACATTTACATAAAACTGAACAAAATAGTAGTTGTAATGAGTGGTAGTAGTAAGGCCTCAAAACTTGCTGCCTTGAAGAGCTAAAAAGAAACTTCTCTGAAGAGGAAATGCAAATGGCCAACAGGCATATGAAAAAATGTTCAACATCACTTGTAATCAGGGAAATGCAAATCAAAACTACCATGAGATACCATCTTACACCAGTGAGAATGGCACATATTAAAAAAACTAGCAACAACAAATGTTGGAGAGGTTGTGGAGAAAAAGGAGCTCTCCTGCACTGTTGGTGGGAGTGCAAACTGGTCCAACCACTATGGAGAGCTGTGTGGAGATTTCTGGACCTACTAAACATAGAGCTTCCATATGATCCAGCCATTCCACTCCTAGGTATTTACCCAAAGGACACAAAAACATCAATTCCAAAGAGCACCTGCACACCTATGTTTATAGCAGCACTGTTTACAATAGCTAAGCTTTGGAAACAGCCCAAATGCCCAAAAATAGATGACTGGATCAAGAAGATGTGGTACATATATACCATGGAATATTACTCAGCATTCAAAAAAGATAAACACATGCAATTTGCAGCAACATGGATGGCGCTGGAAGGGATCATGCTCAGCGAAATAAGCCAGAAAGGAAAAGAAAAATACCGGATGGTCTCACTCATAGCAGGAATCTCGAAAACTTAAATAAGGAACCAGGAAAATGAATAACTATAAGAAAGTGAAAATCAAAATCAACAAAAAACTATGAACCAGAGACACTTTTTGGGGGTGGGGGGCGGGAGGGGAGGGATTGGGGTCAGAATGGGGGAGTTGCAATTGTATGGGGAATATAAAAATAAAATTTATTATAAAAAAAAACTTGCTGCCTTATACAACATACATACTTAGAAAAATACATTTCTCTCAGTTAATTGTCAAAGCCAAAGATAATGAAATAAGTTAATAAAAATGGTGATGCTAAAGTTGCTAAAGATGTTAGCAACACATAGATTTGGAATACAAATACATCTAAGTTATTTATGAGCGTTCAAAGATGAATTTTCCTTAGTTTGTCATATAAGATTAAAAAGTCAGGATGCTGTGAAACAAACTCGTCCTTCAAACACCAAAACAGGCACTTAAGGAACATTATTAGTACTTACTCTTGAGGAGAGTAGGAAATAGTCATTAAAAAATGAGTATGAATTTCTGAAATCCATGAAAAATAGAACAGAAATTATTTCCTTCTTATCCAACAATATATCATGAATATGTCAAATGCTGACAATTCACTAGTTAGAGTTTTTGTAGTCAAGTCTGATTCAAAGCAAGGGAGGAAGTAAAATACCTAGCAATTGTATACAAGTGATAACATTTACAAACTTGTGAAAGTTGGCGACTCATGTAGTGATAAACATAACAAGAAATTAATGATAAGAATGCATATAGTATATTGAGCTGTTATTGCCTATGGGTGTGTTGTAGAGCTTTTTCTCTGGACTCTTTACCCATCATGAAATTATGAAGCATCTACAGTTATAATTAGAGACCCAAGCTGAGAGGCACACACAGTTTAAAACAAGCTACCTAAAGTTATAGGAAGAAGTGGCAGAGGAGAATACTTCTCAGAGTAGAGGTGGTTTTACATGGGGACCACAAATATAAGAAAGTACCAAGGGTCCTCCCTGTGGCACAGGGGATAAAGACAGTGCTATGAAGCTATGAGCAGCCAAGCCACTGCAGCACAAGTTCGATGCCTGGCCAGGGAGCTACACACACGGCATAGCAGACCTCTCCTGTCTCGCCCGCTGCTCCCCTCAGCAGTGTATTTCAGTCATTCTGCCTATTTGCTCCCCACTCTGTCTCTGGGGAATCCTCTCACCCCCTGCATCTCTGGCTTGTACACCAGTTCTTGTATGCATACATAAATAAATCAATTTTTAAAAAAGTACCAGGAATTATAAGTTTGTGGAAGTGAGCATAGTTCTGAATGGCAGGTGCCAGGAGCAGGTAGAATGGAGTAACAGTGGGAGGAAGATGGGAGGGAGACAGGAAAGAGGAGATGTGGAGGAAGTATCTGGTCACTTTAAGGAGCTTGGCCTCTTCCTAAGGAGCCAATATAGAATTTGAAATATGAAGCAATAGTACCTGGGCATACTTGTTCTTGCTGTATTAATCTCTCCAGTGGAAATATAATCTGGTTGCTCCTTCTTGGTTCCTCAGGCAAAGGAGGTTTTCCAGAGCACTCTGCAGTCACAGGCAGCAGTAGAGAAATCCATCCTGCAGGCTGACAGAGCCCTCAGTGATGGGTTGAAGGCCATCGCAGGTGAGGGCAGTGTGTGATCATGATGGGGGCTGCACAGGTGGCTGTGTGGCCTGTGACAGACTGGACAGGAACCGCTGTTCCTCTGCGGAGCTGACTGTGGTAAACCCGACACAGGAGGAGAGCTGTGGTGCAACCTGACACACAGGCCTTTCCCGCCACTTCCTGAAATGTGCCCTGGTGGTGTGGGCAGGGAGGGGGCTGTGTATTGAGAACTCCCACGTCCTTCCAGTTTGCTTTCTTCTCTGAGCTCAGGGTGTAGAGGTGAATCCTCAATTAATTTTCTCTCTCGAAACTTCCTGGGCAGAGGAGATGGCCAGGAAGGAGGTGGCGGAGAAGGAACAGAAGTTTATCATACAGAGGCTAGAGGAGCAGCAGCAGCAGATGGAGGCACAAATGAGGAGTCTCCAGGAGAATTTAGGCCAACCACAAGAGAAAATGTCGTGCGGAAGAGCAAATCTTCTGAGAGAGGAGAATATAATGCTGAAGCATAAGCTGAAAGTAAGTCTGGGAGTGGCCTCAGTACGCTGAATGGTCATTTCCCCTCAGGAGGAGAAGGATGAGTAAAATCATGGAAGGAAACACCATTTACTAGCTTTGATAAATAAAAAGTCTGATCCTTTGCATACTTCTTTTTCTTTTTCTTTTTTTTTTTTTTAAAGATTTATTTATTTATACAAGCATTGGGAACAGTCAGAAGCGCGGGAGGGTGAGAGGATTCACCAGAGCTGGAGCGGGGAGCAGAGCAGGCAGACTGACGAAATACACCGCTGAGGGGAGCAGTGGGCAGCAGGAGAGGTCTGCGTGCCATGTGGGACCCTAGCCCCGCAGCCGGGGAGCGAACCAGTGCTGCAGAGGCTGCAGGCAGCTTCCCAACCCAGCGCTCAACCACTGCGCCACCGGGGAGGCCCTGCATACTTCTTTTTCAAATACATCCCTTTAAATTCTGCTCTATATGCAGATTCTGATACTTCTGGGAGAGTATGACCCTTCAAGTCCCTAGAGAGTATATATAGAGTTTGATTTGTCTGGGGTATTTTAAAATAATCTCATGAGTGTTGATTAAATAATATCCTGTCACATGTATTTAATATGATCCACAAGTGGTTTGATGTGCCAAGTTCATGACCAATTATCAGGAACCCTAGACCACCCAAGGACCTTGAGGTAAATCTATGCTGACCTAAAACTCTGAGCATGCTCAAACTTAAAATTTCAGGGAAATGACACCTTCTAAACTTGCTGCAGTGTCTCCGGTGATGGCAGATCACCGGATGGCCCATTCATGCAATGAATTCTCTATCTAGATATGATAGAATTGATTTCTAGATAGCTTTTGCCTTTGTATCATTTCTGTATTTGAGTGACCATATTTTTCCAGGGCACTGAGAGTAATACCCCCTGACCCAGCTACTTCTCACCGCCATTTTTTGCTTATTACATTGGTCTTCATGTGAGTTTAGCATCCTGGCAAAATCCTAATTGTGTGTGACTATTACTAAGGATGTAAGCTGTGCTTTCGCTCAGTGTTCTGGTCCAAATCAGGAGATATTCCTTTTAAAATTCTCCTTTCATGATTTTGTCGAAAAGAACAATTCTAGGGGTAAGGCAAAGGTAATTTGACAAAGTTCTTAAGAATACAACAGGTTTGAGAAAATGAGTATTTGAAAAACTTTACTTCCCATCTTCCTTTTTAGATCCAAGAAGCAATGTTTAAACAAGGATTTCAAAATAAATGTGCAGAGATGGGTGCAGAGATAAATCGGTTAAAGGAAGAGATTGCTACCAAAATGATGATCATCAAAATGATGATCTCTGGATTGCAAAAACCTTGGACAAATTTGGCAATGCAATCGCTTCAGTATTATCTGCTGCTGGTAAATTGATTGGAAATCTTGTGAAAGGAATGGGTGCACTATTTAAAACAAAATAACTCTGATTTCTAAGAATTATAGAATGTGGATAATGTGGTCTGTTAGTGGATTTATGAAAACTCTGATCTGTATGATCTTTACTCCCATTTTGCAGTGTTTTATAAATGAAATGTTCCCCTAATAGATATTAGTGCTTTGCCACATTCCATAGAATGCATGTACATTTTGATTTAACATTCACTTTTACAAAATATAAATGTACAAATATAATGCATATATACAGAAAAGCCACTGAGGCATCATTTTATGTCACAAAAGATTGGAACATACTTGAACATTCATGTAGAAAAGTTGGTAATATAAATTTAGAATGTACATTTTACTGGAACACTATGTACTCAGTAAATAAACTGACAGTGGAACGCTATTAGTATGAATATAGAAAAATCTTGCATATATTCTAAAGTGAAAAAATTACAAAACTTCATGTGTTCACTGTAAAAATAAAATTATTGTGTGCTATTATTCATATGGACACACAGAATATCACTGGAAGATTCATTAGAAACTAATGCCATTATGAGCCTCCCTGGTGGCTCAAGGGGTTAAAGCACAGCACTGTGAAGCTATCCGCAGACTCTGCAGCATGAGTTTGATCCCTGGCTGGCCAGAAGCTACTCACATGGTGCAGCAGACCTCTCCTGTCTTGCCCGCTGCTCCCCTCAGCAGGGTATTTCAGTCTGCCTGTTCTGCTCCCCACTCTGTCTTTGGTGAATCCTCTCACCCCCCACACCTCTGGCCTGTACCCCAGTTCTTGGATGCATAAATAAATAAATCTTTAAAAAAAAAAAAAGGAAACTAATGTCATTAGTTCATTCTGGGGAGAACTGAGCAGCATCAGTACTGGAAGGAACATATGCTTTCTCATTATATACTCTATGTTTTGAATTTTATAAAGAAAGATTGTATTATCATGTTATAAATAAATATTAAAGAAAGTATAGACTATAATACTAATAAACATCATAATAAAAGGAATGTGTAATTGGCTGTTAGATGATGAATGTCTGCATTGCTTCTAACAATGACCTTGGCCTGCTCACTGAGAGTCTAAGAGTAAGAACAGAGTAGGAGGAAACACGATTTGTTTTCGAATCTTGTTTTCATTTTGTCCTTGATTTTGAATCCTCCATGTTTGCTTCAAAACTAAGATACAAACTCCCTGCCACTCAGCTCTGCTAGCGCAGTCGCTACTTACTGTTGAATTACCCTGTGAAGGTGTTAGAAGCAAATAACGAAATTGTTTATGTATTAATGAAAGTATTCCATCATGCTTTTTTATTTTTAAATTTGACAGTCATTTACATGTCTGTATAGCCTTGGGTTTACATTTTTTAACATCGGGGTTGCATTTTTACTCCTCCCTATGTCCATAAGCTTCACTCACCATGCACCAAACCTCCCACACCAATGTCTAATGCCTTCCTCCTCCCCTGTCTTCCCTCTGGTAACCAGTATAATTTTTCACTGTGTCTAAGATTTGTTTTTGCTGTATTTTGCCATGATATGTTACTTTACATCATCCATTGTTTTTTAAATTTAGCAAGCATTCTTGTAATTGTTACCTTAAACTCTCAGAACATCCTACAGTTCTACTGGATCAAGACTTCTGTCAGTACTATTTCTTTCGCCAACATTTGTCTGTTCACTTATAATTTTTGTAGGTTGTCATAGGGGTAAACTTTCAGATTGCTGCCTTTGCACCTGTTCAGGTGGCCAGAGAATGGTACCAACAAGAAGTAATAGGCATAATTTACTGTAAGGCATAGTAGGGCTGCCTATAGTAGTGTCAATGATTCAAGCTTCCTATTGTGCTGGGTATACTCAGTGGTCCTCTGCGCTAGGCCAGCTGCTAGGCCTAAGTGTCTTGTATAGTCTCTGGCAGCCTCAACCTGTAGGCTAAATTTGAGCACTGTATGCAGCAATGACTGCAGATTGTAGCTGAGGTAAGGCCACATATCTGGAGTAGTTCTTTTTGCTTTTCAGTACAGAGCCTTATGTGGGGTGCTTGCTCCTGCTAAGATCCAGGCACTTAAACTCTTGTTAGTGAAAGCAACCTGTTGTTGTTCTGTTTTGACCTCTGTGTGTGGGGGTTGAGGAGGGTGGGAGGTCAGGAGGCAGGTGCTTCATTTATATCTTCAGGCTGAAAATGATAGCCTCTTCTATAAGAAGATGAGGAGACACAGGTCATCTGACCTGGCTCTCCCAGTAGGTTCAGGCTCCAGCTGTTTTGCACCCCTATTCCTTTAATACTATATCCTCTGCTCTAGATGCCATCTGTTTGCACTCCTTTATGAAGCTTAATGCTGGGGCTCCCGAGTTCCTGATCTGGGTGTTTGCCCCATGTAAAAGCTGCATGTGGGCTTCTGTGCAGCAACTGACCATCCTCTCATGAGTTGTGCTGCCGCATCATCACTGCAATCATGATTCCTTTACACACCTATGTTTATTGCAGGACTATTTACAATAGACAAGATAAGGATACAACCTAAATGCCCAAAACACAGATGAACAGATAAAGAAGATATGGTATATATACACAATGGAATAATATTCAGCAATCAAAAAAGATAAACTCACGCCATTCACAGTAACATGGATATAACTAGAAGGGATTATGCTCAGTGAAATAAGTCAGAAGGAAAAAAATATCAGATAGTTTCACTTACAGGAGTAATATAGGGAAACTGAAATATAAGGTCAAAAAAGAGAGAGACAAAACTTGCAGGCAAATTATAAATGTGTATGAAGCATATAGCAATGGGGGGGAGATGGGTCAAAATAGGGAAGTGCACAAAAGACTATGGTGACAGTTTACAGGTGAGGTATTGGCAAATTTATGGAGACTACACATGAGCAGAGAAATCAAATATTGTACAAAAATAAACAACAATGTAATAAAAATTTTCCTACAAAAACATTCTACCCCTTTCAGTTGGACCTTTGCTTCTGATGTGTATTGTACCCATCCATTTATCATTCAAGGGCTATTGGGTTTTTAGTACCTGAATACATATCCACGGCTGAGCTGAACCCATGTGATGGTGAGAGGGCAGGCAGAGTCAGACTGTGTAGGGTCTTGCAGCCCCTGTGTGGAGAATGCAAACTTTTAAACATTTGTGGCAAAAAGTGACACTGAAATAAGACTGAAGGGGGCTATAGCTGTTCAAAGGACAGTGGCCACTAGAGAAAGGGTCACCGCCTGTGGCTTATTCACCCATGTGCACAACTGCAAGACAGCTCAGACCTAGGAAAAACGGGTTTATTTAACTGGGGAAATGAGTTTTGAAGGCCACATGGAACTAGCTACGTGTTCTGCAACCATCCCAGACCGGGTAGGTTCACTGTCAGTTCAGGGAGCTTAAAAGAGAAATTTGGAGTCCTTGGAATCATCCCCACAGGTTAGGGGAAAACAAGCAAATGGGCAGACAGCAATTTAGGGTCCCTGTGAATCTCTATACGCTCTTTCCTCTCGTAACTGCTCTCTGCTGCATAGTCCTCTGCCGCCTCATCCTCTGTGAGGCACCCATACAGCCTCGGCCTCCGGGCTCAGGTGTGCCCACTTATGCATGCCCACACCACACTCCAGGTGTCCATCAGGCATGCACACCCAGAGCCCACACTCCAAGTGCCTCCTGCATTCAAGGCCGCAGGTGATAGTAACAGAAGCCAATGGCGTAAAAACCTGAACAATCTTCACATATCCTACACTGCCTCATCCCAGATAGTACCCACAGTGTCCTAAACAATAGGCTGCACATCTAAGATGGTGCTGTCCCACCAAAGGTGGCATGGAGCTCATGGAATGCTGGCAAACGGTGGGCCAGGACCTAACTCACCACAGCTGGAGGGGCTCACAAGCAGGGCCGCTGAGATGATGCCACAGCACTCACAGCAACAGTGTGAAGGCTGGCCTAGATGGCACTGGATGCTGTCTAGTTTACAGCTTTCAAAAGTGACCCAAATGCAGAGTGCCGGTCACCTGTCAACAGCACTGATGGCACTGTCCAGTATGCCAGTCACCAGGAGGCAGTGTCCAAAAACACCATCGTTAACAGCTCTTTGTAAGTTCTTGTCCCACACCACCAACAAACAGCTCCCTGAGGTACCTGGCCCGAGGTCTCTGGTGCTCCTTTCAGGTGAGGTCAGAGGCAGGTACAGCCAGCCGGGTCTCTGTGAGGCTCTTCGGTTTTTCTGTCAAGTTTTTCAGCCTCTCTCTCCCTTTGGAGGTTGGCTGCTGGATGCTCCTGACAGCATCCAGTCGAGCATGCAAGTGTCCAGCCCAAGCAAGTGAGTCTAAGAGCATGGGGGAACAAAGCTTCTCAAGTTGGTGTCCTCCGTACCTTACAAACTCTTTCCAGCCACAAACAAGTCTGGATGGACCAGATTCAATCTTATGGCTGGTTAGACCATAGCACCAATTGGCTCATAGCTTATACCTGATCCTTTTCACAATCCAGGCACCAATCCACGGCCTGCAGCTGGAGGCAGCCACAGCACTGGAGCTGGCCCTGTGGGGTTCCAGGGGGACATGCCTTAGGGTGGTGTGGTAGGGGAGTCACTGCCATCAGCCATCACTGCTGGCCTCTGCCTGCAGCCTGAGCTCCGATAAGGCCACTGGTGGTGACATTTTCTTCCCCCCATCTTTGTTATCCTTTATTGAAGGATCCCACACCCTCATGGGACCCCGGCCACACCAGAAACCAGAAAGGCCTCACAAATATAGTAGGAGGCCTGAAGGGGAGGGGAATAATTCACGATCCCACCACACTGGAAACAGAAGCCCACTACAGACAGACAGACAGAGAGGGGCAGGGAGGAGAACTTGCCTCACTCTTGGTTCTCTCCCCTTTGCCCCCACTTCAAAAGAAAGTCAAACACTGGCTACATAGCACCCCAGCCCCCACCCCACCCATAGCAGCATTTGTGGGACCTCCCCCTCTGCAAGGGGTGGCCCTGAGGCAGCTTCTCATCACTCTTCCTTCACTTTGGTTTGCTC